TGGTCTTCTCAGACCCTTACCTACTCCAGACCAGCCCGGAGACTCAGTGTCCATTGACTTTATGGATACCCAAGTCAAGAGTAGGCACGACAAGAGCCAAGTCATGGTCATAGTTGATAGATTTAGCAAATACGTTGTTTTTGTTCCTTTGCCTGCAGAGGCCCGTACTGAATTAGTGATTGAGAAGTTTTTTTATTTTTGGGTTAGTGAGCATGGAGTCCCATTGTCTATAGTTAGCGATAAAGATAGTCGCTTCACTAGCGAGAACTGGCAGGAATTGATGAAAGTCTATGGATCCAAGTTGTTGATGTCGTATGGCTGCCATCCAGAGACTAACGGTCAGACTGAGCAAATGAACAAGATCCTGCAACAAGTTCTGCGCATGTATATTAGACCCGATCAAGTCAATTGGGACGAGATGTTGCCCAAGGTAGCCAGTGAGTACAACAACAGCGTGCACTTGTCCACCTGTCGCACTCCCAATGAGTTGCACAAGTCCTTTAGACCACGTGGACCATTTGAGGGACTTAACCGGGATCAGATTCATAGGCTACCGCCCGATACCAGGGAGTTTGCGATACAGCACGAAAGAGAGCTAGCTACAGTTGTTGAGAACCTCAGGAAGGCCCAACATCGAATGATAGAGCAAGCCAATAAGCACCGTCGCCCATCGCAGTTCCGAGTAGGCGACTTAGTCTGGGTCAAGTCTAAAGAGTTTGCTCCTGAGGAAAACATCTCGCAGAAGTTACTGCCCGCGTATAGAGGACCACAACCAGTTCTAGAAGTTAAGGGCGGAGAGGATGGTCCGTCCTACACAGTAGAGATTCCAGCACACCTCCACACCTACCCTGTGTTTCACGCCTCAAAGTTGCTGCCGTGTGTCACAAGTCAACAGTTTCCATCTAGAAGATCCATGATTGCTCCAGACATGGACGGAAGGTACGACATTGACGACATTGTAGATGAAGACGTGTTCAGAACAGAAGGTAGAGGTCGTCCGCGGAAGCAGTATAAGGTCCGGTTTGCTTATCAGGAACCAGAGGACGACCGCTGGTTTACCAGAACAAAACTTCTAGAAACAGCTCCCGACATAGTAAGAGCCTACGAAAGAGATAAGTAAGGTAAAGGTCCTGCCTTGGACTAAGTTATTCTCGGAGGACCTCGAATTTAGGCCGGCGGGAGTGAAACGGTATTCACCAGTTCGCAGTAGCTGATGCAGATCCCAGGACTCGATCCCTAGTCCTCACCTTACCTGTGTACAGTATCTGTGTCGACCCCGAGAGTTGAACCCGTGACCTGTGTATTTGTAACAGTTGGTAGACTGCCGTAGGGTCCGTAGCTAGCAGGGGTTCGATCTATAGACCTGTCGAGTAGAAGTCCTAGGGAGTTCTAGAAGTCATAGCTGTAGAACTTCTGAAAGGTCAAGGTCGTAGCTGCTACAGTCCTGAAGGGTCAAGGTCGTAGCTGCTACAGTCTTCGAAAGGCCAGGACCCTGACTTCCAGAAGGTCCTAGTAGTGGCCTTTCGAAGTTTGGCTGAAGCAAGTGGGCAAGTGGGCAAGTGGGCAAGTGGGCAAGTGGTGAGCCCAACTGCAGTACGTCGGCAGTGCGACTGCATCGAGTTGGCAGTGCAAACCCATGCAGTCAGCAGTACCAGTCCCAGCCAGTCCTAGTCCAGTCAAGCAAGTACCGCATGGGACTGTGTGCACCACGGGCAAGGGAAACGGCCAGACCAACGAGCTACAGAAGTATAAATCAAAGGGCAGCGTCCAGCCATTCATTCATTCCTGCGTGAGCCATGCGGAAGCGCTGCCACAGCGACTTGTGTGAGGTGGTCCGCAGTGAGCCCGAAGACGAAGTGGGCGAGAAGGAGCTTAGCCATAGCGATAGCGTAGCAGCGGCCATAGCCGCCATAGCTGTAGATAGAGTGTAGCGTGTGTGTGTGTATGTGTGTGTACAGAGTATCGCGTGTGGGATATCCAGGGTGATCCTGTGTGTGCGAACAGAGAGTTGTGTGGGCGCTGCGTCGCCATAGCCATCGAAGTGAACTTGTATCTGAACTGTGTTCTCGGCTACCATATCTCTGAGTTCTGAGTGGGCGCTCGTCGCCGGTTTGCTGCACACCTGTTTGCATGCATGTGAAGTGTGAAAGAGAGAGAGTCTGATTGCACAACCAAAAAAAACAGCGATGATCCTGCCCATACTTGCATGCCCACCCGATCGTCCGCTTCAATTGCCTTCCTCCTTCCCTCGATTATTCCCCCTTCGCAAGTCATCCCACCCACGGATGGCAAAAAAAGAAATCAGCGACGATCCTGCCCCTAGTTGCAAGCCCACCCAGTCCTCCGCTTCCAGCGACTTCCTCCTTCCCTCGATTATTCCCCTCTGCAAGTCATCCCGCTCAGATCGCGCCGTGCAGGGCCACCCATTCATTCACCTTTCTCCTTTTGTCAATTATTTTCCTTCGCGAATCGTTGTTTACTCGTCCCTTCCCATCTTCTGTCTTCCTCATTATCCTCCCTCAGTCTCAGCACTGTACCATCTGATATCCGGTGGAACACGTGCTGCAGCCATCCAGTAGGGATCGCACCAGGGGACACACACACACACACACACACACACACACACAGAGAGAGAGAGAGAGAGAGAGAGAGAGAGAGAGAGAGAGAGAGAGAGAGAGAGAGCATCCTTACCTTGATTCGCCATTGCTTCTCGGTTCGGCTCTCACACTCACGATTTGTTGCGGATACTCTGTTGCTATAATCTCTTCCTCGCCGTATCCGCTTTGGGCACTGTCCCCTCGCTCCCTCCTGTCGTCTTTCACTCCCTATCTGCTTCATCCCCCTTCTCTCCGATCTGCTTCCCGATCTGTCCTCCCATCCGCTCTCTTTCGCTTCACTTTCAACAACGCTCCCACTTTTCTGTCTCCTCGCCCCTCTTCCACCGCTTGATGTCCCCAGTGTTCTCTCTTCTTGATGACGCTGCTGGCCGCTTCCGATCACTCACGGTGAATGCTGCACGACGCTGCCGCTCTCCTCCCTTCTCCTTTCCTTTCCCCTTCCTGCCCAGTCGTCTTCGTCATGTACCGCCACTCTCCCATCTGCACCATTCAACACTGCCAGCGTCCGATCTCCCACTTTGCTCGCTCCCCTCTCTTCCCTGCAAGTGCACCTCCCGATCGGCCTCCCTTCACACTCCTCCTAATCTTCACTCCACTCTTCTCCTTTGAACTGTGATGGGATCGCATGTGCCTAGCGGCCATTCCACTCGATCAACACGCCGCTTGCATGGCACACTGCGCTCCCCCGTTCTCCCTCGGACCGTATGTGCGCTGCCACCCGCCGCCGTGTGCCCAACTCGACCCTCGCCCTGCGTTTTCCATCCAGCATTTGCTTGGGCCTGGCCCCTTTCCCACCTGTGTCCTCGGATGTCCATTGTGCCGTGCTGTGCATTTCCCCCGTCTCTTTTTTTTGGGCCTGGCCCCTCTCCCACCCGTTTTCCCAACACTGGAAACCGGGCCTCCCAACAGCATTACAGCAGGCCCGGGCTTCCCTTTATAAAGAGTATAGATATAGATAATAGATAAAATGCGGAAAGAAAATGACAGCTATGCTGCTACGGTGCAATCACGTCAATGTCCTTCCTGAACACAATTTGCACAAACAAAAATTCAAGTATTGACAATGTCGGGGGCATCCCGACATACAAGGACCCAGTTTACGAGGGTCATCAGCCGGGCAGCAACCCGGACAGTTCGGAACTGAGATTGTCACAACATCTCGAAGAAGGTTGCACTAGAGAGTTTGCTGGGAAAGGACAGGAGAGCCCAGGCGAAAGGTCAAACCCTTGTCCATCCCAACCTCAGGCCAACTCTCGAAGCAAGGGGGGTTCTAGTGGGCTGGACGGAGGATTCTTGACGGTGCTCCTTGCAGGCTGGAGCAAAGCACATTTTAGAGAGTCCTCACGGAATACCTAACAACACCTTTCTTGCATGGGATATTTGTTAAGCAGTGTGGTCGTGCCAAACCCTTCAATTTTTGAGATTCTACAGTGGTGTTGAAAGGCTCTAGGACTCACAAGCACACAATGTGACACCTGATGTTTGCTAGGAAACAATTGGTGATGTTCCGGGAAAGAGACCAACGGTGCAATTAAGTTCAAGCCTAGGTTACCAGGTCCATCCCGCCGGCTGCCCAAACTGGGCGAGGGTTGGGGGGTCCGCCTGACCAATCCGGGCGGGCTGAAAACTGCACAAGAATTTTGTCTTTTTTTCTACAGATTGCGCTGTGTGAATGCGCTTGATAAGAAAATGCAGAATCCACCTGCAGACTCCACCACTTCCTTCAACTTGGGGGGGGGTGGGGACGAGAGAACGGATCCAAATGGGTTTACAGCGGTTTAAGGGGTGTATATTGACTTCTTTTCTAATTTATTTTTTACCTTGTCTTGAAATAAAGAAGCATTTGGGGACGACACAAGGTTTTCTTACTTTGCTGGCCGGTCATCCAGGCGCATGTCGTATGCCTGCCTTACCATTACCTGTTGCGCTTAGCACTCTCAATTTAATCTCGAAATAGTACGCGCTCCATCAAGCTGCCCAAGTACTTAGTTTTCCCCAAGTCCAGGGTCATGCCTCTTTCCTGGACTGTGCTCCTCAGTCCTGTGTGGTGAGTTACCTGTTGCGCTTAGCGCTCTCCATTCAATCTCGAAATAGTACGCGCTCCATCATGCTGCCCAAGTACTTAGTTTTTCCCAAGTCCAGGGTCATGCCCTCTTTCCTGTACTGTGCTCCTCAGTCCTGTGTGGTGAGTGGGTTTATGTCAAGCCTGCCTCTTCTCTGTTCCTCTCAGCATCAGTGCTTGTTTCACTCCACCTCAGCATAGAATAGAACTGAAAAGTGAAAACTGACAAATCATTAGCAGTCAGTCTATGTTGTCTGTGTCATTTCCTCTACTCCTAAGTTGATGCTTCACGGGTTGAGAGGAAATGAGGAGAACGGTACCTGAATAGACACTGCCTCCTGGAAGACTTCCGAATGTTATGCTTGGCGGCTGATCTGTGGTGTAGCTGCAACAACACAATCAAGGCAGAAGGGAAGGTAAATCGATGGTTAAGAACATTTAAGGCATTGTTAGATGTTCACTGAGCTTCATTCAATATACAACTCTATTTGAGTCAGAGAAAACTCTCTCACTCTCAATGCAAAACCAGGGGAACAATTGACCCTACCACTCCAAGCCACAAAACTGAGAGACCCAGCATGCAGCCCTACCGTCCCGAATCCCATAGGGATTCCAACTCATCCTGGCCTCCTTACAAAAGGGAAACAAACACTCTCAATGCAAAACCAGGGAAATAACTGCCCCTACCACTGTGAGCCACAAAACTGAGGGGCCCAGCATGCAGGCCTACCTCCCCTAATCCCGTAGGGATTCCTACTCATCTTGGCCTCCTTACAAAAGGGGAAAAGAACAAAAAACATTGCATTCAAATTGATTCAATGCTCAACATGGAAGGGAGTACGTAGAATGACAGAAACGGATGTGCCTACATATAAGATATTCCAAATGCGGCAGGAGAGGCAGGTGATGACACATGTCCATCGATGGGTGGGCCACAACTACGAGGGCATGTGCTTGCCCCGGGTGTCAGCATCCCCGTTTGTCAGAACCTCAGCAAACGGGGAGGAATATGTGGTCATCATATACTTCTTCGAGGCTATCGCCAAGAAACCGGACAGGCCACAGCTCAGTCTCATAGAAGCACAGTGGATGGACTTTGCCGAGGTGTGTGGTCCAGCAGCGTACCCAGCCAACTGCGAAAGTCGAAGAACGGCTTCGATGAAGCAGAAGGTAAGGTTTGGATAACGGACTTGATACGTGAAGCCGGTCCCATTCCGGGCCATACGTTACTGTCCACGTCTCAAGCAGGCGGCGGGCGTATACGTGGACAGTAAGCCACGGCTGAATTCGTGCTCGATGTCCATAGCGAGCCCGAGACTTGAGAATCCACGCGGCACTAGATTGCCTGAGAAGGTACTCACGCAAGGACCTAAACCTTCAGGAGACAATTCAATTAAATTCGAGATCGTGGGAACTGGGGAAATAACTCCATACATGAGACCACACCAGTCATCTTACAGGAAGTTAATGCCAGGCTCCAACCAGAGGATCACCTGGGGGGGGTGCTGTTCATGGAGAGGAGGGGGGGGGGGGGGGGGGTATATGGCAAAGGGGAGAACAAGGGTATTATTTTCCTGCAGGGTGTCACGTTGGACTGTGAAGCCCTCCCCATTGGGCATATCGAAAGGTAGTAGGGAGAATTGAGGAGACGGCGTACGTAGGAGGTTAGAATAGGACTGCAGACGGCAAAGGGAGGGAGGAGGTGCAGTGGGTGTGGAGCTCTGGTACGTGTGAGAAGTGGCAGTTAAGTTTGATAAGGCTGGCTGCAGTATAAGGGGATGGCCAGGGCAAGGGAGGGAGCAGGCGCAAGGGGGTGGGGAGGTTTCAGCACGAGCAGGAAACAATAGCTAAGGTAGTCGATAGCTTGAGATATAGCTCGATAATGGGTTCGGTGTAGTGAAATTGGACAACCGTGGTGGCATCAAGGGAAGTAACAGGCCCAAAGTGATGACCGGGAACGTGTGCTGTATGGGAGCAAGATAGCTCCTTGTAAAGAGAAAGGAGTTGAAGAAGATAAGGAAGAAGGAGCAGGTGGATGTGATCTGCCTGCAGGAGACAAAGATGGTGGAAAATAAGCTGGCCCCACGGTGCTGCGGTGGAAGGGGCAGCAAGTGTGGGCCCTGGCCACAGGCACAAGAGGAGGTGTAGCCATCCTTACGCAATGAGTTGCAGTACCTAGCGCACTGCACGCTAACTACCTTGTTGTTTTCGCCAGTTTTGAGCCTTCCGGGGCTTTATCCCTGAACCGTCCCTTGCAGGGACTTCGCCCAGTTCTTTTTTTTTTTTCTTTTTCTTTTTTTTTCTTTTTTTTTTAACAAAACAGGGCCTTATGGTCCTGGCTCCTTCTATTCTGGGGAGCGTCAGTCCGGTTCCTATTCCACCGGCAAGTCAAAATAAACATTACATCAAGAACACTCACACACGCTTCCTTCCGTCAGGCCGAAGGATCCCTGAACAGCATTGATTGCTCCACCGCAGTGGAGGATTGACTGTCAGCTTGCCCATCCTCTCTCTTTCCTATCAGACTGGACAATTAGGTCTGCCAAGTTTCCTCGCTGAATCCTAGAAAGAGTCCCTCTATTGTGATCATCAACCCGAGCCCTTCCCCTTCCACCTGCTTTACCTTTTACCTGAGCAACCACTAAACCCTGAACCCTAAACCCTCGTCCTTCTTAACGGCTCCCCGATATACCATTCCCATTTAACGATCGCCTTCCTCATTGCTCCGAGACTCTTCGCTTTGACCCTTTTACCTCCCTTGCTCGCCTTCATTACTAGCTTGCATCCTGGTCTCCACTGTTGTACATCAAAAGTAGTGACCCGAAAGCAGAVCTGTCTCGGTTAGATTCTGGCTCGAGGGTTCCATTCCCTGATTCCGTGCTTTGCTGTTCCAGATTCCTTCTTGAAGCGGAGTTGTGCCATTCCTTCCAACAGATGCGATCATTCCTCAACTCAGCRACCTTCCCCCCTGCCAACCATGTCTTGATGAACTTGTTTCTAGCCTTCTTCCGCTGCTMTTTATCGTCTGTCTATGTACTCTTGATCCTCTTCCATCTGCATAKAATTTCTGCCTGTATCAGAACCTTTGTCCCCACCCAGACTCTCTCCCGTGYGTTTGCAGCCCCCTYCATCGTTCTGCTGCATCTTTCCTYCCATATGACCCAAAGGGAGGTCTTCCTGATGAACTCAAATCWGATCCTTTCTGCTTTCCGTGGCCACTTAGGGATGTCAATCAGAAGGAGAACTAGGCKTCCTTSCATTTGRCCGAAGGACCCCCGACSAGCATTGAATGCTCCACCTTGGTAGAGGATTTTCTGTCAGCTTGCCGTGCCCCTCTCTTTCCTCTCAGATCTGGAGTATASCACTACCAGATAGTGCTATGTCCCCTAGACTGAGTTCAGCCTTTGTCCCTGTCCGCCTGTGTCCTCACCGCTCTTCTGTCCTGCCCGTAGTGCGTGATATCTCCTTTCTTGAGTCTTGTGGGAAACCCGCGTGTCGTTTCTTCTCCGGTCTTCATCTTTTTGTCATTAGCCCGGTTTCTCTTATTTGCCTTTCCTCCTTGGGTCGTACTGCCTTGTCGAGATTTTTCCTCCCCTTTCCTTTATCTTACCTCATCTCTCCATTCAAAGCATAGTTGTCCATTTAAAGCATAGTTGTGTACCCTCGATCTCTGCTATCGCCCCCTGACCCAACGTGTTCTGCTTGAATCTTTTAATTATCTCTTCCTCTTGTCCTGGTTGTTGCCGTACCTGCTGTCTCACTCTTTTCCACTGCGCCTTGAGATGTATTTCCATTGTCTTGAGGAGCATCTCCCTGGCTTCCTCTCTATGTATTAGCGTTCCTTCTATAGTGGCCTGACATCTCCTCTTCCAAATGATCCACAACCCATATTGCCTCAGTAGCTGGAAGATATGTCTCTGATAGGGTTGCATTCGTTTGGGTACCTCAGCCCCCAAAAGCCTAGCAACTCTTGACTCTGGAAAGGCAGTGTTCGCCACCAGTTTCCAAATTCCCCTGACTTGCTTCCACATCCCCTCTGCCTCCTTGCACTCCAGTAGACAGTGCACCAGTGTTTCCGGAAGTCCTTCTTGACACACTCTGCATAGTTCGGCTTCATCGCTTCTCTGGTTGTGACTTCTTCTTTCRTTGAGCCAAACATTCACTGGCAGTGCCACATGTGCTATTAGCCATTGCATACTCCTCACTTGTCCCAGTCTTATTGATARAATATTTGCCCATGGTATGTCTGCCATTTGGCTTCTGGGGACCCCCACCTTTTCCTCCCAGCGCYTGAGCAGAGTAGGTCCCATAGMCAGGGATCTGTTCCTTAACCTGTAACCTAYTCTTGTAGTGTAGTGAAGGATGTTGATTCTCCTTGCTACTCTTAATTGTCCCCCTCTAATGTTCCAGGCCCATTCACCAGGATCCRCCTCTAGTTCCTCAATTGGAACCGTTGGATTGTACACTGTAAACTCTTCCATCTCAATCACTCTTACCTTACGCAACCCTTGTTTGAGGATATACAGCGGCGCTTTCAATGTCCTATCCAATTGGGACGTGGTATTGCGTGGCTGTATTATGTTGTATTTGTCTGCTATTAGCCATTCGTTCCTGTCTTTGACCGTATCCCATACCCTGTACACCTCTTTAGGTTCTGCGTCATCTTCCCATGTGGCCCAATCCCCCTCCCGTCATTGTTTTCCCCCCCTCAACAACTGCACCCAGGTTGGATGTATGGAGTCCGTGACTACCCTCAGGTTATCCTGAAGCTTATGACACCCCTTCAATGTCCTTCTCAGCTCCTCCGTTGTTTTCCATCTGTTGTTCTCCTCATCCCAAATGTGTTTAATCTGCCATACCCCRTGYTCCAACCATCTACCCCATCTCGAATCCCKGCTTGTTAATGTTAGAGGCTTTCCGCCATTGTCTTTAATGCTTGCGTTGCAGAATAGCGGTTGTCTTAATACCTCCTCTCTTGTGGTAGGCTCTCTTACCCTCGCTGGGAAGACCTCTTTCCACAGTTGTATTAGTTGTAGCCAATAGGCTGAATTTTTGACTCTTCCTCCTTGTATTTCCCTATTCCCCTCCCTGTGGCCTATTTTGGCCCAGTCGCTACACATAATCCCGAACGTCTCCATCATGTTGCTCGGTGTTTTGTACCTGGCTATCTGTCTAATCCTTTCTAATACTATTGAAGTCCATGGCAGCCTAGGCTGTGATATTAGCTTAACCACCCATTTCGTTTGAAGCGCTTTCAGCTGTTGACTTGGGTCAAGGATCCCCAAGCCCCCTTGCCCTTTGGGTCTAGTTACCTTTTTCCAAGCAACCTTAGCTATGAAATGCTCCTTGTTGTGCCTTGCCGTCCACAAGAAGGCTGCGGCCTTT